TCTGTAATTTATTAATTAATGGCTCTCTTCAGTCAATACGTTCATTAACAGAGTGAGATGTTAATTGATAGAGTATAACTCTTAAATTACCTCAATCGATGATCATTAAGAAAATGGATATTAACGATACGTGATAGATTGATATGTGGTCTGCATCACATTCTTTGAGAATATATTATGTCTCACTACTATGAATAATTGTTATTCGTGATGGACACATGGATACTTTGGAGAGTATTGGTATACCCTACCGATAAATCATTTGTTTATGTGTCTATGGGAGCATCGGTGTGTGGAATGGTGTAATAGTCCTTTGACTTGAGGTCAATACGCAATTCATGTATAGAGTGATTTACTTAGACCTAGTCCAAAGCTTACGCCCTTATGGGTAGATACGGGCTTGTGTTGGGTAGGTCACAATATACGTGGAATTGGTAGTTGAGCCAATATAGGATTCATTCCTCGAATATAGTTTCGAGAGAACACTCGTTTTCTCTATACTGGGTTGATAAAGTCATTAGTCAATGCACGTGATTATATTTGAAATGGTGTTCAAATATAATTAATTGAAATCAACCAGTGAGATGAGATAAAATGATTAAGCTGTTTGGATAGACACACGTTCAAATTCTAAGCTTAATCGAGTGGTTCGTGAATGAAGGGACCGTATCACTATTGAGTTCTACACGAAAGGTTTGTTTGCTTTGTCTATGTAAACGTACTTCATATTTTGAGTCCGTCCTTCGACGCAGTCTAAGAGTTTCGTGAGGATCATAAATCGGATTTATGTCAATATATGAAGGCCTATAGGGTCACACAATATGCAATCCATTTTTCGTCTAAGAGTGAATCGAGAGTGTTAAATATTCAATTAGATTGGAATATTTAATTTTATAATTAGATTATTTTCTATTCGATAGAAAATATATAATGAAGTTTAATTGGACTTAAACTTAATTATATCATTAATTGGATTAGGTCCAATTGCCTATTGGGCTATAGGTTATCCTAAAACCCATATAATTAGGTTTAGCCTAATTATAAATAGGTTGTAATGTCATATCAGATGAAGAGATCAGATAATTGAGATACGCCGTAAAAACACAAAAACTATATTTGCTTTCTGACTGAGGATTCCTAGCGTCTTCACCGGAAAAGATTCACTGTGTTGGATCGTGCACGGGGATCTGGTTTGCGTGGATACCATAGTTGAAGGCAAAGCTTAAACTGTAAGTTCTCGCAGATTTATCATATCGAATAGCTATAGCCGGATCTTCATTGTTGGTAAGAAAATTTTAAAAATCGGCTGCGTGTGCGATTGATTCGTACGACTGAAATCCAACAGAACACCCCTAATATCTATAGTCAATTTCACATTTTCAGTTAACACAAAATTGAATTTAATGTGAATAATAATAATAATAACTTTTCGAAATATTCATAACTTGATGAATTGATATTTGCTCAAATGATATTTATTATAAGACATGTGTTAATATACAATTTTGAATAATTATGAATGATTACATAAGTCGTGGTTTTTGAATGTTGTATATTTATTGGATGTTACTGTTAGAGTAGGATACCCAGCGTTCCAATCAGATTGGACGTATTCTACTTGTAAATACAATCTATTGGAATTATATTAATTAAAAGGCATTACTTTATCTTAAGAGTAAGCATTTATCCTATATTTGCACTTAAGATAAAATCCCTAGATCACATATAGCTATAAGGTATGGTTGCGCATAGAGATGGTGATCATGGAACATACCTTGAAAGCTGTGATCTTAAATACAGTTCCAAGTCGACGGATGTTTCGAGATGGGATATCGAATAATCCATAAAAGACTTGCACATAGTATGTATGCTTGTTTGACAAGAATGTTGCATTCCATCAACATTAGCGTGGGGCGCAAGTACATATATGTGGGTGCTTGTTAGAGAACAAGTTCACTGAACATGACCGTATGAAAATTCTTAATGAAGAATTATTTTAGTTAATAATCTGTCGAATAAGAATTTTCATATTACAATAGTACATGACTAATCCTTAGACTTGAGGCACAATGGTAACTTTGTGCATATACGTTCTACTTTGATTTATCCTTTTGGTTGCTAGCACAATCGTATAAAGGGATATTTTGGGTATTATGTTAATATGTATGGAAGTTTGTTAGTGGCCAACAAAGGATTCGACACGTATGAAGATACGAGAATTTCCTATGTGTTTCATAGTTAGTAATTCAAAGTCCTTGGCCAAGGCAGAGATGAATGGAGATTCATACCTGGATTACTAAACATGAAATAGAATCATAGTTATTAAATCAATTTGGGTTTCGACTAAAATCATACCCAAGATTTAATCGGGAAATTAGATGTCGAAAGGATTTTACATGTATGGAGTTGTAATTGGAATAGGTTTACTCGCTATTCAATTAATACTAGATTCATGCTACTTGCTAGGTGTTACCATGATATGTGGGTTCTTGAATTAAGGAGTTAATTCATGAATAAGAGTTAATGTGATTAACTCAAATTACAAAGAGTTGTAAACCCACTACTAGTATTAACTGTGAACCTAAAAGGTCACACCAATTTTTGAATGAAGGTGAAATTCAAATAGAAATTCTAAAGAGTTAGAATTAATTGACAAATCTAATTTGATTAGATGTCAATTAAAGGAATATATTAAATTAATCAATTGGATTGATTAATTGAATTTTGGATATTAATTTAGTAATTAATGGAATTACTAATTAATATTTGGAATTTAAAATTAGATTTTAAATTTCAAATCCAAATAATAATATGATTATTAAAATGAGGAAATGGAATAAAAGAATAAAATAATATAAGTCTTGAAAGATGCTTTCAAGAATTATTATTTTATGATATATCTTTAATATGATTAAAGATTAAATATTAATAAGAATAATTAATTATGGTGGTTAAGAGATTCTATCTACTTAACATAATTAATCTTATTCTTATTAATTGAATATTGGGTGGGGAATAGTCTTGAATATTTTATGAAAATATTCTTGAAGACTTTTTATATTTTATGAAAATATTCTATCCAATATTATTATTTTATACTAAAATGTTTAGTATAAATATGGACATGTTTGATGTTCAAACTAAGTCTTAAGGTTAAGATTTGATCTTAATGAATTCCATATAAGTTCTTAAGAAGAAAATTCAAGTGTTGAATAATCCCTCAAAATACAAGAAAGAGTTCTTGTAAATCTTATCATAAATATATTGATATTTTAGTTAAGTTTAAAAGGAGTTTTAAACTTAATCTTAAGATAAGATTTGATATTAAGATTTGATCTTAATTTTTCAAAGAGTTGAAAAAGAGAGAAAAGAAGAAGTGTTCTTCAAAATCTTCAAATTACAAGAAAGAGTTCTTGTAAAATTTCCTCATAAATATATTCTATTCTATTGAATAAAACCGATACTTTTCTACTAGCGAAGAAAGAGGTTATCGGAACCGGATTTCAAAAGGTGGATACGTTTAGAGGGAAGACACGTGGATTCCTAAGCGAGTAAACACAAAGTGTTGCTGTTATCAAACCGGGAATCGATTCCCTCATCCATCGACAATTTTGAAGGAGTTCAAGACTAAGGTAAATTTAGAATTTACTTATAACAAATCAAAATTTGTATATGATGCATGTTTTAAAGATGACGATCAGTTAATTCGCAATTAGTATGTACGGGTGTTGTATTTATACGATAAATACTTACTTTAAAAATTTTTAAATTCCGCTGCGTACAGCCCGTACGGTACTAGCGAACCCAACAGTTACCAGAAGGAATATATATATATATATATATATATATAGCAAAAAAAGAAAAATATTGGATAGTTCTACATTTTTTTCATTCTTTTGCCCTCTTCTTTCTCTTCCAAGAAAAAAGAAAAAGAAAAAAAAGGGAAAATAAAACACAAATAAAGGTACAGTCAAATACAACACCCCAAGACTCTCATCAACTCTACAGCAAAGCTTACCAACTATCGTCTACACTCTACACTGCACATCTATTTATGTTGGTTAGCATTTCATTTTTTTTTAATTCATTGTATTTTTCTTGCTATATTATATTCTCGTCACCAAACTCTATTCCCCTTTTGGCCATCGCAACACATTTTGTGAAAAACCTAGAAAAATTGCGTATTTGGATAACTGTAAACCACACACAACTGCAAGTCTAATCTACACTCCATAGACCCATAGACGATACTTGGCTAATTTTATTTTCTCCGTTCTTTTTGTTGTTTGGTTGATCAATTTTTTGCAGCCATTATCGACTCGATAGCTTGATATCGGCTTCAGGTTAGTCTTGCTCTCTTTTGGGTTCTTTGATTTGAGTAGAATTATTATTATTATTATTATTATTATTATTATTATTTAGAAATGAGCTGTTTTTGTGTTGAATCTTTGGATCTTTAATTGCTTTGATCGTTTGCTGATTGTTGGTCGAGTGATTTTTTTTTTTTTAATTTTTTCAATTCAAATTTTTTTGATTGATTCTGTGCCCTATCGTTTTCTTTACTCTGTTGATGTTCACTGGGTATAGCGCAATGGCCTATATTTCTTTGTAGGCCTTGAATTTTCCAATGTTCTGATGAAACTAGGTTAATTTATGGAAAAAAAAACATCTTAATTTGATCATTTGGAGCTGTACAACATTTTACCCCCAGTGGTAGTCAAGCTCTTTTGCTCCCTTTATATTAGATTTAGTTGGAACTTCTGAAGGTCATCATCAATTTAGTTGGATATATAGGAACCGGTTTTAAAATCTGCAAACTTGCAGTTTAATTTTGTAAAGGATTCTTAGTCATTCGAAATGTAGGCCAGCTCGAAATTTCTCCACGTGCCACACGTCCAAATTTTGATTTGGAATATCAATGTATATGGTTTATAGTGCGGATATCTATTCCCATTATTCAGGTTTCCTATCGATAATGTCTAATTATACTGATTTATAAGATCTTGGTTAGTTGCTGGAGAATAATATAAGCATGTCGAATTTTTTTATTTAGAAGATGTTGAACTGTGATTAGGGATAATTATATCTGAGTATAAGCAGAACAAAGTTTGTGATTGTCATTGCGTGAAATTAAGCTTTTGCTAAAATACTTGACTGTTTTGATCTCCTAGTTAAACTATGTTTCATTGTTGTTAGTGTTTGTGACCATCTTTACTGCCTTGTCCCAACGTTTGTCTTTTTGCTCATTGGTAAGGCATGGATTTCTTTATTAACAATCGTTTCTCTTATTCATGCGCGAGAGAATAATTAGATAAAAGATTGTTAATAAGAGAAAAAGCAACTCAATTCTTAAAGCTCTCAACTTTCACCATTTTTTTCAACTAAATTTACCAAACACTATCTGAGTTGCCAACCATCACAAAACTGGCATGGTTAACAATTTATTATTCTTTGGTTAACAAAACTAGCATGATCCAGAACGTCCGTGTTAGATTTGTATAATCATCCTCACCTAACTCCTATCTGGTTGATTAATGTCTTCCGGTGGTGATATTTATTTAGCCCTAAATCTTGTGAATGGCCATCTCCACCTGCCGAGCTGCCTCCGCTAACCTGCGCCTTCTCTCATATCCCTCTTTCACTCGATCACCACCGGCGAACATTTCTCTGATCTTCGCCGTTAAACAGGATTTTAGCTCCCTTCGACTAAAATCGAAGGTCTCGAACAGAAGAACGAAAGCATCTATGGCTGAGATCGTGACTCCGAAGAGCAAAGGGAAAGTCCAAGTGTTCGACACTGAGGAGGATCTGGCAGTGGCACTCGCAGAATACACCGCCGATCTAGCCAATAGAATCTCTCGGGATAAGGGCTCGTTTACTGTCGTTTTCTCCGGTGGTTCTCTTGTTAAGTCCCTCAGGTTAAGTATCTTGTTCTTTATTTATTTATTTATTTATTTATTTATCTGTCTCACTTTTGCAACTTGATTGAAATTGTGGGTTTTCTGCTTACTGATTTATATTGTCATATTTACAACCGCAGTAAATAATATACTGTTAATGCCAATTAATAGTTTAATCATGATATTTACTTGCTTATCTTATTTCCCATATTGACTTTGTGTTTGGTGATAAAATTAAAGGAAACTGGTAGAGCAACCTTACATCAATTCAGTTGATTGGTCAAAATGGCACATATTTTGGGTGGATGAAAGAGTGGTACCTAAGGACCACCCAGATAGCAATTACCTCCTTGCCTACAATGAGTTCCTTTCAAAGGTATTGCTTTCTTTAATGAAATAAACTATCCCTGTATGATATGAGCTGATGATATGAACAACATGGATAATGTGATTTTGAATTTATCAAATGTTAGATTTGATTTGTGTTACAGCTTTGTGACTTGAATGCACACTAACAAAAAATGATACAGTCCGTGCATGTCTGGGGTATAAAGTTATATGATGCACCTTTTTCATTATCAATTTATAGCCAGACGACTTTTTGTTTAAGCATTTAATGATTATTCATGATATATAAAGCAATGAAATGAGTCAACTTCAAAAGTGATACGTATCTATGTTTAAGGTTTCCATAGTTTAGTTATGTTATTTAATTAGGGTTAGAATAAGGTGATGGGTTGGGCATTTGCTTAGGAACCCTAGTTTGTTTTATTTAAGTAGTAGAGTTTAGGTCTCTTAGGGGAAGAAAAGAATAGAATTGGCTTAGGCAGTAGAAATCCTGATCGTTTGTGCTTGGGGCAGTCTCGCCTGCAATTGTTTCCAGTTCTTCTCGTTTCTTTCGCTTTTCTATTAATCAATTTCAGTTTTGAATTTCTTCTTGCAATCCGCTCTTCACCCTATCCAAAAGCAAAAGATCTCTATATCAATGCTAGCAGGGTTCACATTCAAAAGCTGCATAGCTTCAAGAGCATCACTGAAATATGATCACAGAAATTCAGAGAAATTTAGGACCAGCTTAATAATTCACCACATCCCAGCAGCAGATTCAATCGGATATACAGATATACAGACATAAACTTCAGTATAACACCACATAAAGGATTAAACGTCATCACAATCAGTTGGTTCCTCGTAAATGGAAGCAGTAACAATCAATAAGACAATAGATGAAATCCGAAAGCTTCAGATTTAGGAAGGAGAGATTACTTACAGAACGGAAAAGAAAAGCCAATTGAGAAGAATTCTTGAAATAATGCGAATTTTTTATTTTGGGCGAGCAGCCGAGCCTGAATTGGGAAAGAAGATTCGGTTTTTGATTAAGAAAAACCACCCCTAGTTTTTTCTACTTGCATTTGTCGGAGGCAATATTGCTTTTTAATATTTTCTTGCATCTTGTTGCTGTGTTAGTAAGCTCCAAATCTTCAATATCAGAAATCTGCTTGCTATTTCGTCCCAAATTAAGGCTTTCTTGTTTTAGCAGTTATTCTGGGGTAGAATCAAGTTTGATTCAAATTATCAATCTAAAAGAGCATAAGCTAGAACTTATTTTTAAAAAGGTTTTGATTGCTATCAACAATTTGATCTGTTGATCTAACTCCTTTTATTTGTTCGCTCCACAAGGAAGATGTGTGTGTGCGTGTATAGTTTTCAGACATTGAAGACTTTTGTTTTACTCGACTGAGACACTACTGGAACCAGTAGTTTCTGTCACGTTGAAATGTTGTAGTAATAATTTATTGCATTGTTGAATCCTGGAAAACCCCTGAAGCAAAAAACTTAATTGTCACAACTTCGTTTGTTGCAAAATATATATTTATGATGATTTTGTTATTTGCCATTACCCATTATTTCATTGTTGCTATAAGTTGTTCTTTTGCAGTAATTGTATTTTTGAAATGTTTTTGTAAATATATATGGCTAGATTTTTTATTTTTATTTTTTTTTCCATGCCAAGTGCTGAAACCCCGAGGCACATTGTCATAAACACAGATAAAGTCACAAATTGTGCAGATTATTCATTTTTTTTTTTTTGTAATAATTTCTATATACAACAGTCAACATACCAAAGAAGATATCTTTACGCTATCAAATTTTATGTTTTTTACGATGTGAAATATTTTTTAATCCACTTCTTCCTACAGGTTCCAATTCCTATTGATAATGTACACGCCATAGACGATACATTATCAGCAGAAGCTGCTGCCGAAGATTACGAGACGCGCCTCGATCATCTAGTGAAAACCAAAACACTCGACCAATCCCAAAATGGTAAATTCCCCAAATTCGATCTCATGCTAATGGGCATGGGCCCAGATGGCCACATTGCTTCTTTATTTCCTAGTCACCCTCTCGTTCAAGAAAACAAGAAATGGGTTTCGTTTATCAATGACTCGCCTAAACCTCCCCCGGAAAGAATTTCATTCACTCTCCCGGTTATAAATTCTTCGGCAAATGTAGCCCTTGTTGTGGCCGGTGCTGGTAAAGCAAGTGCAGTTTATACTGCGCTTAGCGATGTTTCGAATTGTGAGGTGCTTCCTGTTGGACTTGTCGAGCCCGAAGGTGAGTTGACTTGGTTTTTAGACAAGGAGGCAGCTTCCAAACTTTGATTGTTTATTTATGAAATAAGGTGTATTTGCATTGTATTAATAAAGAAGAATTTCGGTTGGATTTTCTTGAATTTTTAGCCCGGAGAAGGAATGGATTTCTTGTTGAATGTTGAACAACCTTAAATAGCTGTTTGCAAGGTTCAAGATTTCAAGCTCTTTGGGCATGTCTTTTAATAGTAGTGGTGAGGTTTTATTATGTTACTTGTTAGTTTTAATTGTGTGCAAGAATGTGCAGAAATTGGTGAATGTAAAATGCATCAGTTGGGTGGGTGAATAGAAAATGTGCTTACTATGTTTGTGTAATTTTCGAAAAATTGGATCTTGCTTTTTAGGGATATAATTATGAAAATTGATTTGATTAATTGTATTATCATCTCATGTAGATATTAATTTTATTAATTATATTCACTTATCAGAAGCACTTAAAATATATAACAAATAATTAGAATAGTTGTGTTTGACTCATATTGACTTAGTGAATAATTTACAACATGAATAATAAAATTTGCTAAAATGTATTAACCATTAAATAGTATATATCCTTTGAATACGGTTTTATTGTGAATACTCTAAAAATTTACATCAATATATTAATGAATTTATTATTTGATGGTCCGGTGAATTTAAGAATTATAAATTGCACACTAAAAATATATGTAAAAAAAAATGATTCAAGTTGTAAAAAAATAAATAAAAATGAGTAAATAAAATAATATAGTCAAATGTCATCATTAAAATATAGCATTTGGTGATAATTGAAATATATAATTTATCTAAACATATAAATGGTATATTAATACATTCATTATATATGTTTAATAAATAAAGAATTAAATATACACAAAAAAAAATTGTTTACTACGAAAAAATTTGTTGTATAAACGAATAAAGTTACTACAATTTAAATTTAATTATCAAACAATTAATATTTCATGCATCTAGAATTAATAAAGGAAAATAAAACTTAGGGATTGAAAGTTAGTTAGTTATTGAAGGAAGAAGGGAGGCCGCTTCGAGGAAGGCCCAGACAGCAAAGAAGATGCCGACGTGAATCCTCGAAGGAAGAAGCCGCAACAGGGCGGCCCCCACGAAATCATGACTTTCTGCCCCACCCATCAAGATGAGACCGGCACCTCCAGGGGCAGAAAAAGGGACCGGTCCCCACGCACCAGGGCCGACCCGGCCAACCTCCCAACCCGGCGCGTCAACACAAGTCGGAGCGAGTCCCTCCTCTCCAGGAGGCAAACCAAGGCTTATGCCTGACAAACCTATCATGCTGGGCAAAGGGTGATGCACGCCAACAGCAGGCCGGCGCCAGAGCCGATCCCAAACACCATCACCTTCAACGATGAGGATGCCTTCCTGTTCGACCACCCCCACTCCGACGCCCTGGTGATCACGGCACCGATCATGGCGATAAAGATCCATCGCATCATGGTCGACACCGAGGCCTACGCCAGCATCCTCTACTACGATACCTTCAAGAAGATGGGGATCGATGGGAAGGAAGTACAGCCCTGCCGGGAGCGGATCCAGGGTTTCAATGGGCAGACCATCGCCCCGGTCGGTCAAGTCACGTTGCCGATCTGGTTCGGGGAGAAGGGGCAGACAATCTTAGAAACTTTCAAAATCGTGGACTGCCCAAGCGAGTACAACGCCATTCTGGGCAGGACGGCTCTCTACAAACTGAAGGCCGCCGTCTCCATATTTCACTACTCCCTCAAATTCCCAACTTCCGATGGGGAGGGGACCCACCGGAGAGACCAGAGAGAGGCGCGGGAATGCATTCTGACCATCCCGCGCACCGAGATAAATATGGCGGACCCTCAGGCGGACGCCGAGGTGACAGACAGGTTCGCACCCGTTGACCCCCTCGAGTACCGACCCCGCAAACACGGAACCCGACACGGGGGCAGACAACCTGGCCCCCGGTGCCGTAAGGCATGGATTTCTTTATTAACAATCGTTTCTCTTATTCATGCGCCAGAGAATAATTAGATAAAAGATTGATAATAAGAGAAAAAGCAACTCAATTCTTAAAGCAACCGACAAAGACAAGGTGGATAAGACCCGCTACTGCTCCTACCATAAGGCGCATGGGCATAATACCGACCAGTGCCGAAATTTGATCTCGGCACTGCTCAAACTGATCGATGATCCCCAGCTCTGGAGGTTCACCCACTCCGGAGAAAAGAGGAAGAAGGGAGGCCGCTTCGAGGAAGGCCCAGACAGCAAAGAAGATGCCGACGTGAATCCTCGAAGGAAGAAGCCGCAACAGGGCGGCCCCACCGAAATCATGACTTTCTGCCCCACCCATCAAGATGAGGCCGGCACCTCCAGGGGCAGAAAAAGGGACCGGTCCCCACGCACCAGGGCCGACCCGGCCAACCTCCCAACCCGGCGCGTCAACACAAGTCGGAGCGAGTCCCTCCTCTCCAGGAGGCAAACAATGGCCTATGCCTGACAAGCCTATCATGCCGGGCAAAGGGTGATGCACGCCAACAGCAGGCCGGCGCAAGAGCCGACCCCAAACACCATCACCTTCAACGATGAGGATGCCTTCCTGTTCGACCACCCCCACTCCGACGCCCTGGTGATCACGGCGCCGATCATGGCGATAAAGATCCATCGCATCATGGTCGACACCGGGGCCTACGCCAGCATCCTCTACTACGATACCTTCAAGAAGATGGGGATCGATAGGAAGGAAGTACAGCCCTGCCGGGAGCAGATCCAGGGTTTCAATGGGCAGAACATCGCCCCGGTCCGTCAAGTCACGTTGCCGATCCGGTTCGGGGAGAAGGGGCAGCCCACGAAGACAATCTTAGAAACTTTCAAAATCGTGGACTGCCCAAGCGAGTACAATGCCATTCTGGGCAGGACGGCTCTCTACAAACTGAAGGCCGCCGTCTCCATATTTCACTACTCCCTCAAATTCCCAACTTCCGATGGGGAGGGGACCCACCGGAGAGACCAGAGAGAGGCGCGGGAATGCATTCTGACCATCCCGCGCACCGAGATAAATATGGCGGACCCTCAGGCGGACGCCGAGGTGACAGACAGGTTCGCACCCGTTGACCCCCTCGAGTACCGACCCCGCAAACACGGAACCCGACACGGGGGCAGACAACCTGGCCCCCGGTGCCGAACTGACGGACCCCTGTCTGGAAAGTGAAACTGCCGGCCCAGCCGAGGACAGAGCTGAAGCCGACCTCGACAGGGACAGGGGGAGAAGGGTTGGCAAAAGGCCGATCATGGAGGAGGACGAGCTCGACCCCCGGACCCAATACGAGGAAAAACGGGGAACAAAGAGGGCCGAACCGATGGACGAAGTCGAAGTCATCTTCATCGATGAAGAGACTTGCCAGAAACAACTCCGGATCGGGAGCAGGTTGCCGGGGCCTATGAAAGTCGAACTGACCGAATTCCTCCGACAAAACGCAGATGTCTTTGCGTGGACCCACGAAGATATGGTCGGCATTGACCCCCAGGTCGCCTGTCACCGGTTGCTGGTCGACCCCACGGTCAAGCCGGTCGTGCAAAAACGAAGGAAACTCGGCCCGGACCGACAGCAAGCCTTGGAGGAAGAAGTGACCAAGCTCAAAGATAACGAATACATTCGCGAGGTTCGGTACCCGACCTGGGTAGCCAACCCGGTACTCGTGAAGAAAAGCAGCGGAGCATGGCGCCTGTGCATCGACTTCTCCGACTTGAACAAGGCATGCCCCAAAGACAGCTACCCACTCCCTCACATCGATTACATGGTTGACGCGACCTCAGGGCACGAGCTGATGAGCTTCATGGACGCATACTCTGGCTACAATCAGATCCCCATGCATCCAGATGACGAGGAACATACCTCTTTCTACTTGGCACGTGGACTCTATTGCTATACAATGATGCCGTTTGGGCTGAAGAATGCCGGGGCCACCTACCAACGCTTAGTGAATAAGATGTTTGCTAGTTTAATAGTTAAATCCAAAGAAGTTTACTTTTGGCGTCGGTTCGGGAAAATTCTTGGGGTACATCGTCAGCCAACGCGGCATCGACGCCAACCCCGAGAAGATCAAGGCAGTCCAGGACCTTCGACCGCCGACGTCGATCAAAGGAGTTCAGAGCCTGACCGGCAAACTTGCCGCCCTGAGCAGATTCATCTCGAAGTCCACCGACCGCTGCAAACTTTTCTTCGATGCCATCAGGAAAAATCACAAGTTCGAGTGGACGCCGGCCTGCCAAGAGGCGTTGGAAGCCATCAAGGAAACCCTTAGCCTGGCTCCAACGATGCAAAAGCCCCGCCCAGGTGAAATGCTATATTTATATCTGGGGATTTCCGAGGTGGCCGTAAGTGCCGCCCTGATTCGGGAGGATGATTCAGGCCAGTTCCCGATCTACTACGTGAGCAAGACCCTCCACGATGCCGAGCTGAGATACCCGCCGATGGAGAAACTTGCCTTCGCCTTGGTGACTGCAGCTCGGAAACTCAGACCATACTTCCTGGAGTACCCGATCACCGTCCTCACGGCCTACCCGCTAAGACAAATCCTACATCGGCCCGACACCTCGGGCCGAATGGTCAAGTGGGCGGTGGAGCTGGGGCAATACAATATCCAGTACCGACCCCGAACAGCAATGAAGGGGCAGGTACTATCGGACTTCATAGCCGAGTTAACGCCGGGAGTCGAGGAAACGAAAGGCGAAGAACCTTGGGTGATGTACGTAGACGGGTCCTCCACTGCCGGACGAGCAGGCGGAGGAGTCGTCCTCGTGGATCCCCAAAAAAGGCTATTCTGTCATTCGATTCAATACCTCTTCCCGGCTACCAACAATGAGGCTGAATACGAGTCATTGCTATCCGAGCTCGCTTTGGCCGAAGCCATGAGTCTGACCGACCTCACCATATACTCTGACTCCATGCTAATGGTCAAACAAATTTCCGGAGAGTTCGAGGTCAAAGAGCCAAGACTAGTCCCCTATTTGGGACTAGTGAAGAAAAAGTTAGCCAAACTCCGGACCCGAATAGAACACATTCCACGGACCGAGAACGTGCAGGCCGACGCCCTGGCCCGTCTCGCCTCAAGTGCCGGGGTGGAGAGTGTTGAGTACGTGCAAGTCGCTCACAAGGAACAACCCTCTGTGCTCGGCATTTCGGTGATGAGCGCCGACCGGACCTCCGCGGACGAGGAACCGAGTTGGATGATCCCGATCCGGTCGTATCTCGAGACCGGTGCGTTGCCGTCTGACCCAAAAGAGGCCAGACAGCTCCGTACTCGAACGCTCGGTTTACGATCGTGGCCGGTGAATTGTTCAAAAGAGGATACTCGGCACCTTTGC